CTTTGCCCTCGTCACCCTGCTCGAGCCCTGACACTGGAGTCAGTGGGGACAGCGAGGACAACGGGGACATTGAGGTCAATGAAGACACTGGAGACACCAGAGGCATTGAGGTCATCAGGGGCATTGAGGACCTTGGGGGCAACGGGGGCAATGAGGACATTGAGAACACTGGAGACATGGGGGGCAATGGGGACATCGGGGTTGATGGGGACATTGGGGTCAATGAGGACATCGGGGTTGATGGGGACATCAGGGTTGATGGGGACATTGGGGTCAATGGGGACAATGGGATCAAGGGGGTTAATGGGGACAATGGGGTCAATGGCATCAGTGGGGTTCATGGCATCAATGGGGACAATGGGATCAAGGGGGTTAATGGGGTCAATGGGGTCAATGGCATCAGTGGGGTTCATGGCATCAATGGGGTCAAGGGGGACAATGGCATCAATGGGGACAGTGGGGACAATGGCATCAATGGGGACATCGGGATCAATGGGTCAATGGCATCAGTGGGGTCAATGGGATCAATGGGGACAATGGCATCAATGGGGACATCGGGATCAATGGGTCAATGGCATCAGTGGGGTCAATGGGATCAATGGGGACAATGGCATCAATGGGGACATCGGGATCAATGGGTCAATGGCATCAGTGGGGTCTATAGGCATCAATGGGGACATCAAATGGGGACATTGGGATCAATGGGATCAATGGGGACAATGGCATCAATGGGGACAGTGGGGACAATGGCATCAATGGGGACATTGGGATCAGTGGGGACAATGGGGTCTATGGGCATCAATGGGGACATCGGGATCAATGGGGTCATTGATGACATTGAGGACACCCACAGCCTTAAGGACACCCCACACCTGGGTGCCACCAGCACCCATGGGTGCTCAGCACCCGCTGTGCCTTCATCACCCTGCGCGACCCACAAGTGCCACCCATCACACTGGGGTGACCCAGCACCCATGGGTGCCCCCAAGGCACCCTACGGGACCCCTGATGGACATTGGGGACCCCCCTCACCCTATGGGACACCCCTAAAAAGTCGGGGGGAACCACACACTACAACGACCTTGGGCCCCCCCCACCCAGCACCCATGGGTGCCCCTGGGG